CATAAAACAATTGTCACTTTCTGACTGAGCTCAGTGCAGTTGGAAAGTCTGAATTAGCCTCAATGCCGCATGTATCATTTTCACATTATTGAGTCAGAGTTCAAGTTCTACAAATATATATATTTGTAATTGAAAACAAATCCTGATTAATATTTAACACTTAACTTCTTCAAACTTATCCTTACTCCTGCCTAACAACTGGCAATGCCAGATCATATGTCGTGCAGGGAACCACCTTGCATTCCAGTAGTGGTGCAATGAAGTTATTGAATAGTGTATTTCCTTCTGTTCTTTATCCCCATATCTCCAAAGGATCTCTTGGATGTGAAACACCAATATTGATGCAAACATGTTTAGCCATGTAAGTTATAATACAGTATTCTTCGCTTCTGAAGTCAAAGACTTCAGACTAAAGTTAAAATTATGTGGCTGCAAAAGCAGGAAGCAGGGTGCAAGGGAGGGCAGGACCACAAAAGCATTTGCACAGTGGAACAGGAGACAGCAGAGGAGTTATTAATATGGCACAGCAGTGAGAGGAAATGGTATGGAAGAGGTGAGGGAGGAGAGTAGAAATTGAGAAATTAGTAGAGGAAGACCTCCTGAGATTAGAAGTGATAATCAGTGCAGCAGGAAGGAAGAGAACTGCATTTGTGGGGGTCATTGATGAATTATGAGGAGGTGTGCAGTGAGGTTCTCCTGGAATACAGAAATTTACATTTGCACATCTTATGCATATTTTTCAGGCTTTTTGATCTGCCAGTGTAAGCTGATCTGGAAACATGGCCATTCACATAGTTAGATAAAAGGATGACCATATGGATATTCCCTTCAACAAAACCACCAAAGATAGGATCACGCATCAAAGACCAAACATTTATTTGCTCTTCACAGAAACCAACATTAAGGGACAATCCTGATATTAGGCTTCAGGAATTATTCACAAAAGTGCCAAGATCACCTTGTCATGTGGACAGCTACATAGTGGCTTTGGTATGGAGTATGATGCATACTATTCCTGCTTAGTGTGCATGTAAAGCCATTAGAGCAGAGTGCATACACGAGGATATTATGGGATGCTGTACCATCAGTATACTTGTGGGACTGAGCTCTACTGCTTCTTATTGAATAGAGATACCTCCATCTCCTTGGATTCCTATTGTTTAGCTGAGGAAAGGTATAAGAGGAAAACTGTCTGGTTAAATACAAGAGGTCATGACACAAAAGATCAATCCAAACAAAGTGCAGTTGATGCTGGCAAAGGAAAGGATCTTTAGGAAATGACAGGTGTTATTGCTTCTTACACTGCGAGGGGGATGTGATGTCCACACTTCCTGTCAATATTTTAGCAGGTTTCTTGAAACTGTCATTGTTCCTCGTTGTCTGGAGTGTCTTTTTCATCATCTTTGGCCTTTCCTCCCTAATACAGAGCTCACTATGGGTATACATATGTTTATTACCTCTATTATGCTCCACTGGACTACTCCAATGATCTCAAGGGTTCTAGGTTTTGTTTACTGTTTTTATTGATTTGAAGCATACAGGAGCTAGTTTGTACTTTTGCATTTAGAAAAATGGATTTATTTTTAGGAAGACAGCATAATTTTGAAAATGAATCGTTTCATTAGTCTATAATGACAGTGA